ATAAATTGATTAGATGGGGGGTAAGGGTCAGGGTTGGGCTACATACAAATACAAACATTTGTGTATGTGTGTGTGTCTGTGTGTATGTGCACAACAAATTTAGGAGACATTGTGTCATCATCCAAGTGAAACACTGAATGAGTCACGTTTCCTCAGGTTGATTTTATTAACAGGAAGCAGCATCTATCTTTATCTCACCAGTGTGAAAACAAGATGGAAAAAAAAAAGACACGTGGCACAAGAGAGGAAGGAGACTAAATAACGATGTCCAAAACGGGAACGTGGCAAATGAGAAATGTGCAGACAGGGAGATGATGCTGAGACGGTAAAGAAAAAGAATGAAGTGACACAGCAAGATACAGATATTAAAAACTGAATGATGGAAAAACAGCAGAGCTATATTTATATTTCGCTCTGTCCAACAGGTCTGAAAACCCATTTAGAAGAGTCTATCTGTCTTAACTTCATTTGGTGTACTTTTTATTTTAATTTACAATTATTGTTCTCTTCACTGCATTTGTTATTTACACAATTTTCACTGATGTATGTTTCTTGCTGTACAGTGTCCTTGGGTGTCCTGAAAGGTACTTTTTAAATAAAATGTTTTATTAGTATTCCATTAGACCCTAACACCCACTACCTTCATCTCCCTGGTCACCTGAGAAGAGACCAATGTTTAGAAGATAGCTCCAAACAGAATGAGATAAGAGAGCACAGGCCAGTTGATTTCCCAAAAGGTACATAGTAAATTATTATTCCCCCCTCTTTGACAGCTCTTTGACTGCAGCTTTTAACAACTGCAGTTGATACACACTTACTGAGCAGCATGCACACAGAAATGAACTTGTATAAATCCTGGGTCTGTCTTCGTATTTAATTACATCCACTGCTACAGAGGTATTAAATCGTTCCACTCTGAAATGAAAAATAGGGTTTCCCTAACGCCCACATTTATTTTCCTTCCTCACTCGACATCATACGGTTCGGTGCTGCACACAGTGACATCATCAGAAGGAGACAGCTCCTCAGAAATCAATCAAGTCTGTGTCCAACACAAATCATACATAAACAAACCCGTGAACACTAATAAAATAATGCAATGAGTCGCTTCAATATTACGCACCCCTAACCGGTGAAGACAGACGATAACGTCTTTACTTGTTTATGTGTCTGTCTGTTAGCAAAATATCTCATGAATGGCTGGATTTTAATGAAGCTATCAGAAAATAGTCATTCAATAGGCTTCAACAACTGGTTATGTTTAGGAGTCAACCCCGTTTAAGATGGCTTCCTCAACCAATTAATCTCGGAAAACACCAAAGCAACTGTATTCTCCGGGTGACTCTTAAAGGCACAGTATGTAGGATTTTGTCAAGTCTTTTAGCGGAATTGAGATAATCACTAATGACAATAATAAAAAACATGTCTAATCATTGCAGACAAAGACCTTGATTTATTATTTTTACCTTATAAAAAGCTGTTTATATCTCCATGGTCGCGGGTCGCCACTACAGGCAGCCGCCATCTTGTCTACGAAGGCTCATGA